CTACTGTTAAAGGCTTTCAAAGAGCGACTGACAAATTCATAACAGAAAGTGGAAAATGTAATCAAATATGTCGGTGCTAGATATGGCAAGAAATGTAAACATTTTTTTTCGATTTCTCTGAAACGGAGCAAAAACGAGCATATGTCTATAGGACTTTTTTTCTTAGTTTTTTACTCCTCTACACGCTCCCGAAGTTTTGCCATTTAATTTGGAAACACCCAGTCTAGTATAAATAGTTTTGGGCTACTTTGGACTATTTTAGTACTATATTGGCGACACAAGTGCAGTGAGCGCAGAACAAAAGTGGTGCAGTGCAAAAGTGGTCAAAAATCTGGCAACCCTGAACATATAATACTTTGTAAGGTAGTGCGGAAGTGAAAGTCATCGTGCCAAGTGATCGTAGTATAATTACAATTGATTGTGGTAATATTGAATAAAATAAGGAAAATTAAGAAGCGCAATTGTAATAAAATTTATCGTTGTCAGAAATCAGCAAAAACAAAGATCATTTATTCAATTTTCATAATAAGTAAAAATTTCAATAAGTAACAATATAAGATGAGAGGTACAAAAATTGCAGAAATTCTCCGAAGCGACCCTATGGAAAAATATTTCATTCCGCTCAAACATGGCCTTGTACAATGCCATGCTTGTTCTCGTTATTGTTTTGGAGAAATAGATATTTTACGAGCACATTTGAAAGATTATCATCCATATATAGCAACAAAAATACGACGAGACATTAAAAATAGTAGATTACACTTTCATAGAAGATTATGGGATAAAATGCATTTTTTGCAAGAAAATTGTTGATTTATTTGAAGGAATACCAGAATTTATAAACTATTATATCCATCATTACGTAAGTAAATAAATGTTTTAAGGACTTATATATGTACAAAATAAGAAATAACATAGATAATAATGATACAATAATACCAATTTTACCTAAAAAGATTTACTCTCTAAATCTGAATCAGTGGATAATCATTGATATCAATGCCTGGTAATCAGTGAATAAAGTGTGTTATCTCTAACCTAACTAATCTTTATTATGTGATGTAACTAATCTTGTTTTAGTGCATAAATTCAATAAATATGGTACTGAAAGATTGAAATTAACGTGCAAATATCAATATTTTAGTTATATAATGCTCAAACATTCTTCCTTTTTTAATTGAATATTTCACTGATTATTCAGTGCCAAGTATGCCACTGGGTAATTAGTAACTATCTATTGATTCAGATTTAGAGAGTATGCAAGTACTGGTGATCATTGATATTTGCAAGCTAGAAGAAAATCGAGAAGGATAATAATGATAAATACCAGGAATAGTAATATTTTATTTTCCTTGAGTCACTATTGGATATACAATCACATCAAGAATTAGATAATTAACATTTGTTTATCATAAAGTTATAATAATTTATTGCTTAATATTATATATTAGATATCTGGAACACGTCTATAAATGTATAAATACTTGAATTAAATAACATATATAGTTAAATCTATATATAGAGATTAAACAATTCCAATTTATTATTGTTCATTTGTTATCTGAATATTCAGCGATCGATAAGTCTTATATTTCAAGATATTGATCAATCAAGCATTCTCGGATTCATACAAGATTTGTTCGTGTCGCATGCTCCAACATGCTTCAACGTGCTCCTACCATAGCTCCTACTCACTCCAACGAGCGCGCTTAGGTGAATAACAGCTATAGTTGGAACATATTGGAGCATGTAGACACATGCGACGCGAATAAACCTATAGTATTTGCGATATTCGATTTTTTAACTATTCGGATGACAGAAATCTGAATTTTTAATAATTAAATGTTTTTTTTATATTAATGTATAAACTATTAAAATTATTTTTTTTAATCACAATTTTTTATATACAGTCAGACAGAAACCTTTCCCGAATGCAACAGACATCATCAGAAATCAATTCCGTTGCAGATTTTAAAAGCATCAATTATTGACGCTATTATCTATTAAGAGTAGAAACAGCCATGAGAAATAGGACAAAATTGAGTTTTGAAGAAACAAATAAATTTAAATGATAGCTATCTAAAATAAAGGACGTATGGTCACCGTAGCCATAAATCATCTTCGATATTTCAAATGGAATGGAATATGTAAATCAATAGGCATTTTGAACGAGTTTTGCATGACAATTAAAGTGACTTTACGAATTAAGCATCAACTTTTCTAGAAGTATATAATCTATTAATCGTTTCATTTTACTTACTGGTTAACTTACTAACATCTGAATTTTTTCAATATATATGTATAGACTTTACCTATATCATGTAAAATTTGCATTATAGCTACAAAAATATTTGATTAATATAATTACTCACAATAATTGAAATCCATATACTACTATATATTAAATTTAGGATTTTAATTATGTAGAGATAATTTGAATATTAGTATTTGAAGAATAGAATCTGTCTAATTTTTCATATCTGAATCATTCACTATAAGGAACAAAAAATAGTAACCTGCAATACCATACACTCAATATGTAATAATACATACAATAGAAATCATAAAAGGAATTGTATGAATCAGGAAATAAATGATAAACGTATCAGATAATATTAAAATATGAAAATACAGTTATTGTAATTGTACCAGTAGTTGTAATCTGTTTGTATCATTTATTTAATGTAAAATCAGTCATATAATATTATTACAATAGTTGAGATTATGTCTAATATAACTAATTATACTATCACTATACATACATACAATTACATACATAATGAAATAATTAAATATAAACTAATTAAAACATAATAAATGTGTACTTGATATATTATATTTGTTTGAAGGCGCGATATATGTTAAATAGCTCGTATGTATTGTAATAAAAATGATGCAAAATGGAAATGTTCTAGATAATAAAACATTTAAAGAAAAAAAAAGATTTATTTATTTAATCTTAATCAATCAAAGATATGTTCTAATTTATATTATAAAGTACGATGTATTTGTGTTATATCTCCTTACGTATCAATTTCATCATTTCCATTAAAATTAAGAAGAATCGATTTTTTTATGTAACAGTATTTTAAAATAATATTTTATATATTATATATATATATTAAAAATCTTAATACATTTACATCTATTTCTTTATTTGTAATTATGCACATCTGATAAATTTGAAAATTTCACATGTGGGAACTCATGTAGATATGATGTTTTTTATTACAGTTAATTAAAAATTTTTATTGATTTAAATTTAAATCAAAATATGAAGTTTTTAAATGACAGTTAATTAATATGATTAATCGATTAATAAACAATTATCTTATTGAAAATGTTACTGCGATTAAAGATATGAAAATAAAATAGTGTTAATTTTAAGTTTAATATATAATAATAATAATATGGCTCAATAAATTTAAATAATATACAATAAAGAAAAAGGACTACGAGCCAAAAATCAATCGTTATAATTTAAAAATGAAAAATAAATAATTATATCATTAAGTTAAAAATATTATAAACTTTAACAGAAAAATAAACGTTTTGATCGCGATCGGATCATTATCAATGTTTATGTAAATTAGTCAGTAAGTTGAAATGTCCGAAAAGATTGTCACTGCATGTTTTCTTAAGTTATGTTATCGAATTCTCAGTTAGAAACTGAGTTATTCTGACTGAGAATTCGATAACATAACTTGCAGATAAGAAAACATTCAGTGACAATCTTTTCGGACATTTCAACTGCCAGCAAGACAAAAATACCTGCAGCTTTCAATAATCATGCGTCGACTAAGTCCATGTTAGCGTTCCAAACAATTAGAGAGAGCGAAGTATTTTTATAATTTGTATAATTTTTCTTTATTCTACTCGATCCTTCATGTAATTTTTCATTATATTTGTTTTACCATACTGACTAATTTATGTAAACATTGATAATGATCCGATCGCGATCGAAACGTTTGTTTTTCTATTAAAGTTTATAATATTTTTAACTTAATGATATAATTGTTTATTTTTCACTTTTAAATTATAACGATTGATTTTTGGTTCATAGCCCTTTTTCTTGTGTTATTTAAGTTTAATATATGTTAAAGTTCTATACAAAAGATTATTATTTCGCTGAGCTATTGTAAATATTATAGTTGAATATTTTTATTGGTTTTTGTATTGGCAAGATGCTATTTCTGATGATCAAAGTCATCAAATGACACTTCCTAACAGTTTCTTAAAGGACACGACAATATTAATGTTCCGTGCAAGATGAGAAGTTACGCAATGTCATTATATAGGTATTATTTTATGTGAAATTGCATCTATTTTCTCGATATTTTTTAGAATATAATTTAGTTATATATATTAATTTATATATATTAAGTCATCTGATACGAAGGTATTTTGATACTTAATGAAAATATAACATTTTGATAAAATTCAGGATATTGTAGTTAGGATCAATT